GTGTGTGTGTGTGTGTGTGTGTGTGTGTGTGTGTGTGTGTGTGTGTGCGCGCGCAGCAACCCCCTGCCCCCAAGCTGCTCTGTGCTGTGCATCACAGCACTACCCAGGTAGCTTTGCAGGTTGTCTGCTTTCCACGTGGATGCTCCATCCCTCCACCTTTCCTGAAAGTCCCCTGTACACTCCCTCCACACAGAACAGGAACATAGCAGACAGCATGTTAACCATCAAAGCCCAGCAAACAAAGGGCAGGAGCCCAGAGGTGGAGAGGAACACCATGGCAGGGGCAGACAGAACCACAGGATACCCTGCCCTGCTTACCCCATTTGAATGAAGCTCCTATTTTTTTGGACAAGGCGAACACAGAACGTGCCTAAATGTTACAGCGGTTTTCTCCCTCCCCCTCTCCCTCCCAGCCCCGGTGAAAAGAAAATCTATTTTTGTTAATGGGGGAAACTTTTTTTAAAATGTTAAACAGAACATAAAGTCCTTGAAGGAAGGCAGTTTCACTTTGTATCCACAGCACATAGTAGGTATAGGGATAGAAACTGCACCTGTGATTTCTTCTGTACAGGGAATTCCCAGAGGAGGAAGGTCCCTTCACCGATGCAGGTTGGCACTTCCTCTCCAATTTGTAGTTGTAGAGAGTTGTCTGGGTCCCTGAGAGGCTCAGTAACTTGCCCTCTATGTGTGAGAGGTTGGACTGGACCCTACGGGCTTCCTTTCCTGGTTCTAAGGCTGGCTCTCCCTCCATGACTGCCCAATGCCTCTCCCAGTAAGCACTTAGCGACAGGACTTCGGCTATCTCATGCCTCCTGCAGGATCCAAAACAGAATGGAGACTCCTCTGGGAGGAGCAGGAGGGAGGAGTGAGGAGCACAGGTTTAAAGCTGGAAGGATCTCTGGGACCACTGAGTCCAGCCCTCCTCCCTTCCTTTTCCACAGGATGACCCTGAGCCCCAGGGAGGTGAAGAGATTGGCCCAGGATCACACAGGTGGTAAAGGATAGAGAGCCAAGGTCCTACCCCAGCTCCCAGGCATGCTGAAGCTGCTGCACAATGTCGCCCCCACTGGACTGTAAGCTCCTTGAGGGCAAGAATTGTTTTTGCTTCTCCATTGTGCTAGTGTTCAGCACAGAATCTAGCACTTAGTACGTGCTTAATAAATAAATGCTTATTGATTGACTGATTGCAGACATTAGGATCTAGGGATGAACTAGGGATGGGAGGGAGAGGAGGGATCTGGAGGCAGTTGCCCCCAGGATCTCAGGCCTGAGGGTTCAAAGCTCAGACAGGCAAGAAGTGGGGAGGCTGGGGTGGGGGGTGGGGAGCTCTGGCTTCCTTTTGTGCAAGAGGAACTGGGCCAGGGCTGGCCCCCAAGTGGGCGGAGCTCCCCGAGATTCACCCAAAGCTAGCACTTCCATTATTTTCCAGGAGTGAGGAGGATAGGGATTAACGAATGTTGGGACCAAGAACACAGTCATGAGCATCCCAAATACCCAGGTTCCCCTCTTGCTTGCTCCCCTCAATGGTACATGGCTTCTGCTAGGGCAGGCATTTGTCATACACTACGGATCCTTTCTAAGAATGTGTTTGTGTGTGCTGTGTTCAGTCGTTTTCAGTCATGTCCAACTCTTTGTTATCCTTTTGGGGGTTTTCTTGGCAAAGACACTGGAGTGGTTTGCCATTTCCTTCTCTAGTTCATTATACTGACGAGGAAACTGAGGCAAACAGGGATACATGACTTGCCCAAGGTCATACAGCTACATAAGTGTCTGAGGCTGGATTTGAACTCATGTCTTGCTGATTCCAGGTCCAGCAATCTGTCCACTGAGTCATCTAGCTGCCCCAGAAAAACGTTTTTAAATGCATAAAATACAATACAGAAGATTACAAAAGACACCACTTCATTGCCTCTCCCCTATACTACTGCATCGTTCTCCTTGCAGCAAGCCTCTCTTTGCTCCCCAACCATGCCACCATCCCATTGCCTCTCCAAAGACCCCTCACACCTTTAAACTCCCAAGACTTCAGGATTTTGAAGTTCAGGCCCCAGCACATCACTCTCCTGCTCAATGTATTCCAGTGGCCCCCTAAAAAAAGAGACTCCTCACTTTGATTCTTTCATATCTTTTTGACCTTTCCAACCTCCCTGGACATTAAGGCCTCTCCTGGCCCCGACCTCCATCCACCTGGGCTGCTTTCTGGTCCTCACACACAACGACCCAGCTCTTGTCTCTGAGCCTTGGCACTGGCCAGCTCCGCTCAACTCGGCCTCAGAGCCCCAATGTCCCTTCAAGACTCAGCTGTAAAATTCTAAAAAATGAATGCTAACAATAAATAAATAAACAATAAAGTGGGGCGGGGGGAGACACAGCTGAGGCCCCATCTTTGGCATAAAGCCTTCTGCGATCTCCCCGACTGCTAGCATGCTTTCACCCAAGCTCCCTTTCACATTTATTCTCTTTATATTTATGTTGTATATACTAATACACGTGCCTGTCGGCTCCCTCAAGAGAACGCAATCTCCTCTTGAACGGGGATGTTGCTACACTTTGTATCTGCGTTCTCAGTAGCATGGTGCCTGGACCATGCTGTTGATCAGTCAATCATGTCCAACTCTCCGAGACCCCATTTGGGGTCTTCTTGGCAGAGATACTAGAGTGGTTTGCCATTTCCTTCTCCAGCTCATTTGACAGATGAGGAAACTGAGGCTGACAGGGTAAAGTGACTTGCCCCAGGTGACACAGCTAGTCAGCATCTAAGGCCAGATTTGAACTCAGGTCTTCCTGACTCCAGGCCCAGCTCTATCCACGGCACCACCCAGCTAGTCCATAGTAGGAGCTTAATAAATGCTTGATCCTTTTTTGACTGACTTACTGATTAAGCACACCAAGTTTGCAAAGGGCTTCGTATGGTACAAGTGTTGTCTTCTCCCAGTTTTCCAGATAAGCAAACAAAGGCTCTGAGAGTGGAAGTGCCCTTGCCCATGGTCATAGGAAGGCAGCTGGGTACAACAGAAAGATGGCGGAGGATCTGGTTCAGGTCCCAGCCCTGTCCCATTCTGCCTCTGGGCTCTTTAGCTCAGCTTCCTCATCTCAGAATTGTTTCCTCATAGCCCCAGCACTTGTCCCAGAAAAGGTGCTGAGTAAGTTATTGTCAATTAGTTTATTGACAGAAGCCCCGTCCTGAGCTGAGAACTCCCTTGGATGGCCCCGCACAGACAGACATTATGATCTTCATCTCCTTGGAGGCCAGGGCAATCCTCCCCTGAATTCAGATCACTTTAAAGGGAGATGGACGTGCTTGATGCCAGAGCCCAGCGAAGGCACTTACTGGTGGTCATGAGACCTTGGACCAGTCACTGCCCCTCTCTTTGTTTTGGTCTAAAGTAGGGGTCACAGTAAGCAGCAGAGATGGGATTTTAGTCCTCTGAATGCTCCACCACTGCCTCTGATGCTGCCTACCTCCCAGGGGTGCTGCTATGGAAACCCGTATACATTGTAGGGAGGCAAAGGGGGTTCCCTGGCCCTCCTCTCTCTAGGCATCTTCTGCCAGTGGTTAGTTAATGGTTTGCAAACTAGTAATAATCCCTCGCATTGAAAAATAATCCAATACAATTTGGAGTCTGAGGACCTAGGTTCAAATCCTTCCACTTATACCACTTATTCCTTTTGTGGCCGTGGACAAATTGTTTAACTTCTACGGATTTTAATATTCCTCATTTTAAATTGACGGGTTTGGAATAGATGGTTTATAAAGCAGTATGGTATACTAATTTGAGGGCAGCAGGCCTGGAGTCAATTCCTGAGTTCAAATCCAGTCTCAGACATTTCCTAAGTGTGTGACCCTAGGCAAGTCACTTAACCCTATTTGCCTCAGTTTCCTCACCTGTAAAATAGGAGGGCTGGATTAGATGGCTTCTGAGGTCCCTTCTAAATTTAGATCTGTGATCCTGCCTTAATGTTTACTATGCCCACACAGTCGCTTCCTCTCCCTGTGCCTCAGTTTCCTCGTCTGTAAAATGATAGAACTGGACCATTTGACTAGACCCCTTCCAGCTCTAAATCTCTGGCACCAAGACAAACAAGTGACCATAGTTCCTGGGTGGAAGCTTTTTCCAAGGACATCTTCCAGCCTCTAGAAAAATACCCCCAGGGCTGCCTGTCCCTCCAGGCTGGGTACCAGGCAGAGTAATTAGGCATTCTGGGGGCGGTGGTTGCTTGGAAACAGCAGCTCAGCACTAGGTGATCTAATAAAGGAAATAGCAGAGATGCTAATTTCCTTTTTCCGGGTAATGAATAATCAAATCTCTAATGCCTCCCTCAGAAGGCAGGCTACTCTTTCCCCTTCTGAGGCAGAGCTGGTCCTGGCCCTCTTTCCAGGCCTCCAACTTGAAGGTCCCAAGCAGACCAGGGCTAATGCAGAACCCCAATAATGGAGCCACTCCAGATGCCTCAATGGGACGCTGGCCTCCACAGATGAACCCAGCAGGTTCCTCTGGGGCGGGCATGAGGCACCAGTGCCCCAGGAGAGGAAGCCAACCTGGGCAGGGTTTTCTCATCTGCTTCCCTCTCTCCAGCGAGGAAGGTCTGACACTCAATCCAGTGCATTTAGACCAGCCTCATTTCCCAATCCCACCCCCCATCCCCCAATGGCCAATGCCTTTCCCTGGAGATTACTCCCTCAATTTAGTGCTGGAAGGAATTCCAGAAGCCACCTTATCCAAACCCCTCCTTTAGCAGATGAAGAAATTAAGGCTCAGAGAGCCACGTGACTTGCCCATAATCACACAGGTAGGGTCAGAGGCAGGACATGGGTCTTTCTGACTTTCAAGTTCAACCCTTTCTTTTTCCAGAAAGGATGAATCATCTTGCCTACTACAGTCATGAAACTACAGTCAAAAAGTACTTCCTATATATTCTGCAGGGCAGCTAGGTGGCACAGTGAATACAGCACTGGGCTTAGAGTCAGGAAGACCTGAATTCAAATCTAGCTTCAGACACTTACTAGCTGTGTGACCTTGGGCAGGTCACTTCACCCTGTTTGCCTCAGTTTCCTCATCTGTAAAATGAGCTGGAGAAGGAAATGGCAAACTACTCTAGTATCTCTGCCAAGAAAACCCCAAATGGGTCCATGAAGAGTCAGACGTGACTGAACAACAACCTATATTTAGTATTAAGTTTTTTAAGTATGCATAGTTCCCCTCAATAGAAGGTAAGCCCCTCAGGGGCAGGGACGCTTCTGTTTTGGAACACAGCTTGTTTTCACTGAATTAGGATAAAAGAGGGTCACAAGGCTGGAGCAGTAAGAGAGGGCCACAGCCTGCAGGCTACTCAGGCGGTCAGGAAATGTGTAGGATAGTCACACAGTGGGGGCTGCCTGGGAGTCCCCCACCTGATTCTGTAATCCCTGGGTGGCAGAACGTAAGAGGAGGAGGATCTCAGGCTCCTGCACCATCTTTGCCCAGTTTGCCCTGGTGGGGGGCCTGGAAGAGTCTGTGCTGCCTCTCTCAAGGTCAAGGTCATTCCCTTTAAACCATCCTCAGGGTCAAGGTCAGTTCTGGTGTCTATGCTAAAGAACCTTCTTCAGTAGCAGAAGAAAACTAGCCCAGGCCTCCTCCTCTTGGCTCTGCCAGAACCTGTACGCCTTGGATAAGTCACTTAGCCTCCATTTCCTCATCTGAAAAATGAGGATGCTGGACTGGAGGGTTCTAAGACCCCTTCCCAATCCCCATGGATGACTTGATAAGCCCATGATCCCCCAGTGAAGGGCGGCTGCCTTTTTTTGTATGGCCTGCAAACTAAGGATGGGACAAAAACAGGCAGCAGGAGGCTCCAGTTTGCTCTGGGAGCCGTAGTTTGCTGACCCCCGGTATAGTGAAGAGAGAGTGACTTTGAGGGCAAGAAGACCTGAGTTCAAGTCCTTCCTCAGACACACAGTGGCTAGGTGACCCTGAGCAAGTCATTTAACCTTTGTATGTACCTGACAGCATTCTATTATTTTAAGTTGAAAGACAGCTGTTCAGTTAAAATTAAATCACTAGTTCAGTTTTTTTTTTTTTAAAGTCCTTCCTTGGCAGAGCAGTGGAATAGGATCGCAAGTCAGAGGCCCTGGGTTCAAATCCTCTTTCTACCACTTCCTGCCTTGGCTTATTCTTGGTTTTAGGGTACTGTCTGTAGGTAAACGAATTCCTGTTCTCTGTCACTTTCCCCCCATTCAGTTTCCCTGCTCAGGACAAACTGAGAACGCAGGGGTTCTTGGGGCTCCCCTCTCCAGGGTCCTGATCCTTCCCACTGCCAGGAGTCTCATGGTCACTGCTGGCTCTCACTTGGTTCCTTGAAAAGCCCACAACATGCGCTCGCTCTCTGTCTCCGTCTCTCCTTCTTTGTCTGTTTGTCTGTCTCTTTTTCCCTCTCTCCCCGTCTGTCTGTCTCTGCACAATTTATTCCTTGGGAAAAGAGACAGGCAGAGGGCCATGATGGGTCTGCCCAGTTAGAATGCCATGAAAAAGGCACGGATCCCCACCACGAAATGCAGAAGGATTACAGGTGACGCAGGCCATGCCAGGAAGAGGAGGCAAGGGAGGGGCTTAGGAAGGAGTCTTAGGACTTCAAAGCTGTAAGAGGTCTTTGGAGAAGCACTGGTATAACGGACAAAGAGCTAGCCTCGGGGTCAGGAAGACTGGAGTTCAAATCCTGCCTCTGACTCATACTGGCTGTGTGATCGTACAATGAACTCCTTGTGTGACATTGGACAAATCACTTAAGCCTCTCTGGGCCTCAGTTTCCTCATCTGTAAAATGAGGGAGCTGGACTAGCTGGTCTCAGAGGACCCTTCCAGTTTTAAATCTTATGCCACTTATGACAAAGGTGAAGCCTTCTCCCCAGGGCTGGAAAACAACCCCCACAAAAGAGCTAAACTGAGGAAGGGCTGGGAACTTTGGAGGGTCACTAGCCTTTCATGGCTCCTTTGTCCCCTGAAAACCACTGCCCCAATTTCCTGCCCATCTTGTGTCGGCGGCCCTGTTCTCCTGGTAGCACCTGCAAACCCTGGTCCAGCTGAAGCTTTGTGGCAGGCGGTCATCCACATCCTAGTGCATCCCCATCCTCATGGCGGATGGTCATCTGCTTCCTAGCACATCCCCAGCCTCACGGCAGACAGTCGCCTGCATCCTAGCTCATCCCCAGCCTCGAGGGAGGCCTGGCCCTGGGTGGGGAGAGGAAGGGTAAGAGACTTACCAGCTTCTGGAAGAGGTGGCCCAAGGTGACCTGGCTGTCCCACTGCTGCACCTTGGGGCAGAGGTTGTCGTAGAATTCCTTGTGGATCTCGTAGATGTCCTGGATCTTGTAGAAGATGGTCTCGATCTGCTGGATGGTGAGCACAGGTTGGGAGGTGGTGGCTGTGGCCTTGAGGGGTTTCATGGGCTGTGAGCAGGAAGGGAGAGAAGATAGGGCTAGAGTAAGAAAACCCAAACAGAATCAACCAAGAACATGGGGAGAGCGGGGGCGGTGGGGGGTGTGAGGAGACCTACATTCAGATTTCTGGGGTTTGTGACCCTGGGCAAACAAACTCCTTAAATTCTGAGCCTCAGGGTCCTCATCCATAAAATGGGGACAAGCATGCTTACACTCGCTACCTCATGGGGACAATGTGAAGAAAACACACAATGAACCTTAAATACATTAATGCATCAAGGACCTGTGGGAATGCCTTCCAATAACAATAATAATAATAGCCAGCACATAGGTTACACTTTAAGATTTGCAGCAAAGTGCTTTGCAGATATTATCACATTTGATCCTCACAATAACCCTGGGAGGCAGGGTTTTTTTTTAATTTTTATTTATTTATTTATTTATTAAATTTTTTTAAAAAAATTTATTTTTATTTTTTTTATTTTTATCCCTCATTTTACAGATGAGGAAACGGAAGCAGGCAGAGCTTAAGTGTCTTGCCCAGGGTCACACAGCTAGTAAGCGTATGAGGCCAAATTTGAACTCAGGACTTCATGACTCCAGGTCCAAACTCTCTTCATTAACATATATTACAATCTGTCAGTACTTTTAGTCACAAAGGTGGGGAGATTCATTCTCAGGGAACTGACTTGCCCAAGGTCATACAGCTAGCTAGGAAGCATCAGAGACAGGATCTGAACCCAAGACCTCTGACTCCAGAGTCCCTTCAGAGGATCTAGGTCTAAAGCTAGAAAGGACCTCAGACGCCAGTGAGTACTCTTTTACAGAGCAGGAGAATGAAGTACAGCTGGTAACATGACTTGTCCAAAGTCACACAGCTAGTGAGTGTCAGGGGCAGGATTTGAACCCAGGTCCTCTAGACTCTAAGTCTGGCGCCCTGTTGACGAAGGCTACACCGTCTCTCATAACCTTTAAAGCATGTACATAAATGTGAGGGCGTCGCTTTTTTAAAAAATTGATCTGTGATGTCATTGCTATAGGAAAGGCCTAGTGAGGAAATTCCATCCACTAATGCAGGGGAGCACCTCCTTAGCAAGGTCTAACTTAAAATCACTGGAGAATAATTAAGAGACTTGCCTTGGGTCACAGAGACAAAACTTGAAACCGGGCCTCTGAGCTCTTAACCAGCTCTCTCTTCACTAGTCTTGCTGCCTTTCCTCTAAATGTGAGTTATTATTATACTATCCATCCCCACAGGGCTAGGAGGGGCTGAGGGGATGTCCTTTGCCAGAGTCTTGTCCAGACAAGGGCCTAGAGGGGGCACTGTACCCACTACATTGGGCCTGATGCCTGATTTATACTTGGGTGTGGCTGTCACAGGCCCCAACAGGCCATCATGCTAAGCTCACATGGCAAAGAAACCCAGCATGCTGAGACCTGCCGGATTCGGGACAGGGGCCAAGACTGGGCACCCATGGACTCCATCTGGAAGCCAGCCCGCAGGCTGCAGTCACGGGCAGCGCCCTGCCAGCCCAGCTGGAATGGGTTGTTTGCTTTTTTTTTTTTTTAACAGGGTTCACACCTTCCTCTGGGGAGGACCTCACCCAGTATGTCATGAGGCCCCTTCCCCTCCCACTCTAGCGGATGGGAGGGTTAGCCTGGAACTTCCTCCCTGTGAAGCTGTCCTCCCTTTGCCAGCAATGGAGAGAGGAGAGTTGGGCTCTCTGCAGGTGGAAATCAAACAGCCCCTTTCTCTGAGGACAGCTATGGCCCAACCGACAGGATCAGAGGTTTCAAAGCCAGATGGTACCTCAGAGACCATCCAATCCAACTCCCACATTTTACAGCCGAGGAAACTGAAGCCCAGAGAGGTTAAGTAACTTACAGGATCATCACCTTAGAGCTAGAAGGGGTCTCAGAGGGCACCTAGTACAACAGGTAGGGAAACCAAGGCTCAGGAAACTGAACTGACCTGCCTGAGATCCCACAGCTATTTAGCCTCAGAGATAGGATTTGACTTAAAGTAAGAAAATTATTAAACGAATAAAACTAGAAGATGGTTTTAGGAAAAAAAAAACTAATAAAATAGATAAACCATTGGTTAATTTGATTAAAAAAAAAAAGAAAGAGGGACAGCTAGGTGGTGCAGTGGATAGAGTTCTAGTATTGGAGTCAGAAGGACCTGAGTCCAAATCCGGCCTCAGACACTTGACACTTACTAGCTGTGTGACCCTGGGCAAGTCACGTAACCCCACTGCCTAGCCAAAAAGCAAAAAAAAAAAAAAAATCAAAAAAGAAAGAAAGAAGAAACCAAATTACTAGTATCAAAAATGAAAGGGGTGAATTCATCACCAATGAAGAGGGAAATTAAGACAACTGTTAGGAGTTATTTTGCCCAATTATATGCCAATAAATTTGACAATCTAAATGAAATGGATAAATATCTACAAAAACATAAATTACCCAGATTAACAGAAGAAGAAATAAAATATTTAAATAACCCAATCTTAGAAAAAGAAATTGAATAAGCCATCAATGAACTTTCTAAGAAAAAAACCCCAGGACCAGATGGATTCACAAGCAAATTTTACCAAGCATTAAAAGAACAATTAATTCCAATACCATATAAACTATTTGGAAAAATATGCGGAGTCCTACCAAATTCCTTTTACAATACAAATATGGTGCTAATACCCAAACCAAGAAGAGTCAAATCAGAGAAAGAAAATTACAGAACAATTTCCCTAATGAATATTGATGCAAAAAAATGTTAAATAAAATACTACCAAAGAGATTACAGCAATATATCACAAGGATCGTACACTATGACCAGGTGGGATTTATACCAGGAATGCACAGCTGGTTCAATATCAGGAAAACTATCAGCATAATTGACCATATCAATAACAAAACCAACAGAAATCATATGATTATCTCAACAGATGCAGAAAAAGTCTTTGACAAAATATAGTACCCATTCCTGTTAAAAACACTAGAGAGCATAGTAATAAATGGAGCTTACCTTAAAGTGATAAGAAATATTTTTCTAAAACCATCAGAAAGCATAATGGGGATATGGTAAAAGCCTTCCCAATACAATCAAAGGTGAAGTAAGGATGCCCATTATCACCTCCATTATTTAATATTATATTAGAAATGCTAGCTATAGCAATAAGAGAAGAAAAAGTAATTAAAAGAATTAGAACAGGCAACAAAGAAATAAAACTATCACTCTTTGCAGATGATAAGATGTTATACTTAGAAAATCCTAGAGAATCAACTGAAACACTACTTTGAAATCATCAACAACTTTAGCAAAGTTTCAGGTCACAAAATAAACCCACATAAATCATCAGCATTTCTATATATTACCAACAAAGTCTAGCAGCAGGAGATAGAAAGAGAAATTCCATTTAAAATAACTGTAGACAATATAAAATACTTGGGAGTTTACCTGCCAAGATAAACCCAGGAACTTTATGAATACAACTATAAAACACTTTCCATACAAATAAAGTCAGATCTAAACAACTGGAAAAATATTAGTTGCTCATGGGTAGGCCAAGTCAATATAATAAAAATGACAATTCTACCTAAATTAACCTATTTATTCAGTGCCATACCAATCAAAATATCAAAAATTATTTTATAGAGCTAGAAAAAATAATAACAAAGTCCATCTGGAAGAACAAAAGCTCAAGGATATCAAGGGAATCAATGAAAAAAATGTAAAAGAAGGTGGTCTAGCTGTAAGAGATCTCAAATTATTAATAAAAGTGGTAATTATCAAAATAATCTGGTACTACTAAGAAATGGAGAGGTGGATCAGTGGAATAGATTAGGTACAAATTACATTATAGTAAATGACCATAGTAATCTACCATATGATAATCCAAAAGATCCAAGCTTTTGGAACAAAAACTCATCATTTGACAAAAACTGCTGGGAAAAATGGAACAGTATGGCAGAAACTAGGTATAGACCAACATCTCACACAGTATACTAAGATAAGGTCAAAATGGGTACATGATTTACACATAAAGGGTGACACTATAAGCAAATTAAGAGAGTATGGAATAGTTTATCTGTCAGACTTACGGATAAGGGAAAAATTTTAAATGAAAGAAGACACAGAGAGCATTACAAAATGTAAAATAGATCATTTTGATTATATAAAATTAAAGAAGGTTTTACACAAACAAAACCAATGCAATCAAAATTATAAGGAAAGCAGAAAACTGGGGGAAATGTTTGCAACAAGTATCTCTGATAAAGGCCTTATCTTTCAGATATATAGAGAACTGAGTCAAATTTATAAAAATACAAGTCATTCCCCAAATGATAAATGTTCAAAGGATATGAACAGGCAGTTTTCAATGAAATCATATCTGAAAAAATGCTCTAAATCACTATTAAGCAGAGAAATGCAAATTAAAAAAGCTCTGAGGTACCACATCACACCTATCAGAGTGGCTAATATGACAAAAAGGGAAAATGTTGGATGTTGGAGGGGATGTGGGAAAACTGGGACACTAATGCACTGCTGGTGGAGTTGTGAACTGATCCAACCATTCTGGAGAGCAATTTGGAACTATGGCAAAAGAGTTGTGCATACCCTTTGATGCAGCAATACCACTGCTAGGTCTATATTCCAAAGACATCCAAAAAAAAGGGAAAAGGGCCTATTTGTACAAAAATATTTATATAGCAGCTCTTTTTGCGGTGGCTAAGAAATGGAAATCAAAGGGATGCCCATCAATTGGGAAATGGCTACACAAGCTGTGGTATATGATTGTAATGGAATATTATTGTAATATAAAAAATGACAAGCAGGGGCAGCTAGGTGACACAGTAGATAGAACACCGGATGCCCTGGAGTCAAGAGGACCTGAGTTCAAATGTGACCTCAGAGCAAACACTTGACACTTACTAGCTGTGTGACCCTGGGCAAGTCACTTAACCCCAATTGCCTTGCCAAACCCCTCCAAAAAAATGACAAGCAGGACAAT